GACTAGAACTCACCGTCTCCTGGTGATTGGCCCAAAGTCACCCAGCTGGTTTTCATGCCTAAGGCAAGACTAGAACTCACCGTCTCCTGGTGATTGGCCCAAAGTCACCCGACTGGCTTTCATGTTCAAGGCAGGACTAGAACTCACCATCTCCTGGTGATTGGCCCAAAGTCACCCAACTGGCTTTCATGTTCAAGGCAGGACTAGAACTCACCGTCTCCTGGTGATTGGCCCAAAGTCACCCTGCTGGTTTTATGCCTAAGGCAAGACTAAAACTCACCGTCTCCTGGTGATTGGCCCAAAGTCACCCAGTCCTAGGACTATACGTCTATTGTCTGAGGGGAAAAATAAGTCCCAGGGGACCGAACCAGATTCACGGCTGAACAAACCCTGGTTCATGCTTTTTACACGGCACATGGATGTGCGACTATTAGCATATTTTCTCTATGGCTGAAAGACCAATGAAAGCCATAGCCTGGGACATTTAAAATGTTCTTCAGTGGGTCCTGAACTTACAGTTCTTGGTCCCTTTCAAGACTGCAGTTTTCCCTTTTACAGCTGAGATTGCGAAAGAGAATCTGAGCGTTTCTAAAGAAGCTTATTTCAGTGCAATCGGATTGCTTGTTAAATAAAAAATAAAAAAGTTCACCTCCCACGAAAAGCGAATTTCCTTGTTCCTCAGCCATATCCTTGTAGCTAGTACACAAAGGCCAGAGAAGAAGGAAATGGTACAGTGTTTGGCACCCGGGTCCCTCTTAAACTAGTTTTTCAACATTTTGCAATAAGGTCTGGTCATGTGATAAGCAAGAAAGGAAGATTTACAATCACCCTTTGCCAGCAAGGACGGCGTGTTTAAGAAAATTGTTGGGTTTTTTTTAAAAAAAAAATAAAATAAAATAAAATAAAATAATCTATGATTACAAAATAATCTATGATTACAAAAGCAGAGAGCGCGCGTTATTCCACCAGACAGGGTTGCAGGCAGAGATTGTGTCACACAGACACAAAAAGAAATCAAGGACCAAAGCTTCACACCTTTTTATATAATAATAATAATAATAATAATAATAATAATAATAATAATAATAATAATAATAATAATAATAGTAATAATAATAATAATAATAATAATAATAATAATAATAATAATAATAATAATAATAATATAAAGTTGGAAGGGACCTTGGAGGTCATCTAGTCCAACCCCCTGCTCAGGCAGGAAACCACAGGTAAGCTTGTTGTATCCGACTGAGTATTTCAATTGGCGGTACGAGGGGCCTCCCACAATCATGGTTTATATTTGCACAAACGAATGCCAACGAAAGCCGGTTTCTCCCAAAAGCAATTTTGGCAGCCCAAACTTTACAAAACTTGGCAACAATCCCCTTTGCTCTAGCTTTCCATCCACTGTGGCTGAACTTTTCCAGGATTTGATTTATAATAATAATAATAAGGTTGGAAGGGACCTTGGAGGTCATCTAGTCCAACCCCCTGCTCAAGCAGGAAACCCTATACCATTTCAGACAAATGGCTGTCCAGTCTCTTCTGAAAAACTTCCAGTGTTGGAGCATTCACCACTTCTGGAGGCAGGTTGTTCCACTGGTTAATTGTTCTAACTGTCAGGAAGTTTCTCCTTAGTTCTAGGTTGCTTCTCTCCTTGATCAGTTTCCATCCGTTGCTTCTTGTCCTGCCTTCAGGTGCTTTGGAGAAGAGCTTGACTCCCTCTTCTTTGGGGCAGCCCCTGAGATACTGGAAGACTGCTATCTTGTCCCCCCTCGTCCTTCTCTTCATTAAACTAGATGCCCCCAATTCCAGCAGCCGTTCCTTATATGCTTTGGCCTCCAGTCCCCTAAATTGCTGATTTAAAGAAAAAAGCAACTCTGGATTAGCAGAACTGCAGACAAGGAGAACTTAGATTTATGGAGGTCAGCTCTGAAAATGACTCCAGAATGACCTGCCTTAGAAGGAAAAAGCAGAAATAAGATTGGCTTATAAGGCA